GGAGAGGGAACACCCCAGACAACAGCCCTGACTCAGACACACAAAAAACCCAAGTGCTGCGACGGGGAAAGAAGAGACAGAGCGATGACTCAGTGATTGCTACAGGCTCCAACCCCAACCCAAGCATCGCATCAGGCAGGGAGCTAGCGTCTAGTGTGCACCAGCGAGCAAAAGCAGGGGGAGAGCTCAGCCGTGGAGTAGTGCCTCGCGGGGACCCTCTGCAGCAGTTGCCAGTGTGGACATGTACGAAATCAAGTCCCTACTACACACTTGAGCTGCGAGGCAGAATGGCCAGGATGCTCCGAGGAGGCTGGGAAGCTCTCAGATGCTGAAGAGCCGTTTGGTGCAGATAGACGGCCCTGCAGACAGACAACAGGGCATGCCCCGCTCGAACGCAGCTCCTAATGCAGGATGGAAATACAACTGCTGTGTTTTCTGCTTTAGAAGGTAAGGCCTGAGATATGCATTGGAGACCCAGGTAACGCCAACTCTTCTCCAAGGTGGGTAGGAGCTGGTGGCTTGCAATAAAGCTCTGACCACCGGGCCCCAGCCTATGTCCTCACAGCCAGCAAAGCAACTGCTACCCACAATCTGTTATTTACATTCCTGACTCACTCCTTCCCTTTCCCCTGAAACGGAAAAATATTTACAGTCAAACCTGAATTTCCCCAACCATCTCCTGGAGCCACACGAGCTGAAAGATCGGTCCTCAGAGTCAGGAAACCGGGTTCTCATGCTAACAGCCCCCCCCCGCCCCCAGCCCTTCCCTAACCACTCCTTGGGCACAGCACAAAGGAAACCCTTACAATATCCTTGCAAAACCTTGGAGACAGGCACAGAGTGCTTCTGATTGGGATGTTTTACCAAGGTCTGACCTTCTGCAGCAATGCAACAGGTTGAGACAAAGTCTGGTTGCAACCCTCAGCAGCAAAGGCTGCTTTTTACTGGCAAAGCCAAGCTATCACCAGATGTGGTCTGCACGGCTGGGGGGGCTTTGGAAAAGCATGGTTGTAGCTATCCCTCACCTCCTGTTCTCCAACATAGTCTTAAAATACCACATGAGTATTAAGTGAAGCAGCCAGCACTAGCCTTCCACTTCTCTACTGGGATTAGCACAAAGCAGAAACAGCCCACGCCTGCAGGACACGCTGGGGTGACAAATCCCTCTGTCCCAGAAAGCCAACCCCTGTGGGGCAGTGAATACTCCTTTGAGTGATTTTACAAAAACTGCATCAAGAGGGGAAGGGCTCAGCTCACACCTTTGATTCCCCAAACCAACTCACAGTTAGAGCTGCCGGAGAGAGGATAAATCACCTGTAAGGGACAAGCCTGGGATGCGTTCAAGCCTGAATGTCTGAAGTGTCAAGAGTGACGAGGGGAAACTGAGCAAGAGGACAAGGGCCAGGTTGCATCCCCTGGCCCAGAGGAGAGCCCTGTAAGCATTTCTGAGCTCCTCTCCATGGTCACCCTGCACTACGCCAGCAGATGACACCCCAGAAATCATTCACAGGGCTGAAGACACTCAGTTTTGCAGCAACACGTGGCTCAATCACCAGCCCTAACCCAGCAAAGGGGCATCCAGAGGCGGAGGAGAAGTTGGGGAAGGAAGTCAGGAGGTGCCAAGCTGTCACTCACAGCCTACGCTGCACCATTTCCCCCTCTTGGAGGAAAGATGGTCGTCCCCAGCAGCCCAGGGTTTTGCAGTGTTACCCCAACACATCCATAAACGCACACTAACAGGACAGGGGAGAGAGAGGAAGCGCCGCAAATTCCTGTTCTGCTCATCATCCCCCCTCCCCTCTACCTGGAAACTGGATGCTCCAAACCCTGCCTGGTTTAGGGAGCCTGGAGATGTCTGTGCCTCATCCTGCCATCATAGGTTGTACTGCACAGGCATGCAGTGGCGCCTGGTTGTGTAAGAGCTATCCCTGGGTGAAAGAAAGCACATTTGGTGGCTCCTGAACAACATCCTCTAATGCAGGGGGGCATTGATGAGGCTGGTATTAAATACACTGAGCAGCGAGACATTTTTGCAGGTCACGAGCGGAGGGAGCCTGAATATTCAGCTGTACCAGCAACTTGGGAACTACATGCCAAGACAACGTGAACAAGCAATGCTGCCCCCTTCAAAATCCCGGGGAGGAGGCCAAGGGAAAGGATGCCCCAGGACTGCTCTGCTGTTGAAGCCCCTGGTAGAGGTGTAGGTAACATAAGGTACGGATTTTGGCATAATCAGCATCCCTGGAGCTCTGCAGAGCACCTGCCACCTCCAAAGGACCCTTGCCAAACTTGCAAGGCAGCTCCTCCTAAAATATACCCCTTAAACAAGCAGGCTTGCATAATACTCCTAACACGTAAGAGCCGACGGGGCTCAGCTCACCGCCAGAAATAACTTTTCCTGCAGCACAAACGAGCCCCAACTTCAGGCAAAGGCGGCACAAGCAGCCTCACGCAGCGACCCGGCGTGACGGAGGGGTGCCCGTGGGAGGGGGGCAGCTGGCGGGCAGCGATGCCCCCATGCCCCCCACCATGTATGTCCCCAGGGAGCTGTTTTCCGCTGCCCATTCTGGTGCTTTCCAGCGGCAGTTTCTCAAAGCACGCCCCAAGCAGGGCCGCAGGCCAGCGCCATTAGCCCCTCCTTTCTCCACCAGCTTCCGCACAGATACTTCTGATTTCATCACTCTTTGCTCTCCGAGAGACAGGAGGGCTGAAAACGCAGTGCAATAGCCCCAAACAGCTAGCAGAGGTCGCTTAACGTGTGCTGGGTGAGCCCTGGGAAAGGAGATTTCACGGCTGATGTTGCCTACGGTGAGGCACCTTATAGCTAAACGTGCCTGAAATAATTTTGGGCAAAGGCAGGAAGGGACAAACCCCACGGATCCAGCCTGGTTCCGCTCTGCCCTGACCGCTGGTCTCCCAGCCAGGCCTGCGGGTCTGAAGTGTTTGCAATCCTGCGCCTACATGTAAATAAAACAGCCGGGAGGGATTGTGAATATGGGGTTTTACCTGCCTACGTACGCTCACGCAGCCTGGGAAAGGGATGAGTGTTTTTAGGAAAAGCTGGGCAGGGAGCATGTGAGCTCCTAGGGGTCCTCGGACCCCTCCAGGCCAGGACAGGGCACAGTTTCCAGCAGGCACCAGCTCAAAAAAAGCTCCCAAAGGAAGATTGCAATCGGCAAACTGGAGTGCTCCGTAAGGAGCGCTGCCGTTAGCGTTATTAAATCGGTGATGGTAATTGAGGAGCAAAATGAAGGAAACGCAGAGCTCCCCTCCCTCCCCGTCACCCGCTCTAAGGCAGGAACAGGCAAACATTTCACCTGCCCTCTTGGCTTTATCACCACCAACGGGACCAGAGCCAGCTTGACCTCGGCACCACCAGAGGCCAAGTCCGGCACGCCGGTGCTGGAGGGCGCAGAGCAGTTATGTCACACGCTTCGGGGTAATTCGGTTGGTATTGATCCAGCTGCAGAAGTTTGGAAAACACTTTGTCAACAACCCTCGCCCTAGGAGACTGATGCTTTCCCAGAGCGGGTCAGCGTAGCGGGTGACTTTTCCCAGCCCTGTGGCCCCTGATGCTCATTATCTTTAATGCACAAATCCTCCGGACGCTTTGCAGCAGAGGCAGCTGCCCACCCCTGTTTGCTGCGGAGGGGGAGGAAGGGGAGGCTGAAGCACGGGAGATTTTTTAAGTGACTTCTCCAAGGTTACAAAAGGCATCTGTGGTTGAGAAAGGAAGCAAAGAGACAAACTGGACGCTGCTACCCAAGGGGCAAAGGAAGGAAAGCAAACCTGGTCCAAACAGGGGATGGTCAGGGGTCAGGGAGCATCTTCAGCCCTGCTCCCGGACAGGGAGACAAGCAAACCCATGCCGAGCAAAGGGGCTGGGGTGCCGCTGCCCTGCAGGCTGGGCCTACGGCAGGGACCCAAGGTGCTGGGGAGAGCGGTGCCCACCCCTGCCCCAGGCTGCCTGGGGGTCTGCCCAGGACGTGCAGGGAAATTTGGCCCTGGTTTGCTTGGGGAGTCCCACCCCGGGATGCTCCGGGGGGTGCGCCCTTGGGATGCTCAGGGGGTCCCTCCCGGGGATGCTCGGGGGTGCCTGTCCCATTCAGCCAGGGGGTCCCACACTGGGACACTCAGGGAGTCCCTCCTGGGGATGCACAGGGGGTCTGCCCCATGAAAGTGGGGGTCCCTCCCCGGGGTGCTGGGGGGGGTCCCTCCCCCGGGCACCCCACCGCGACGCTGCCAACCTACCCAGCTTCATGAGACAGGCCAGGAGGATCCAGAGGGAGATCTCGAAG